CCTTTCCTGCAGGTTTCCGTTCTGACCGGCATCATCAAGATCAGCCTGAAGACGTTTCTGGAGTGCGTCCGCCTGCGGACGTTCGGGCGCTTCGGCCTGCAACAGATCCAGGTGGACTGTTACTACCTCCAGCTGTACCTCTGGCGCTTCGTTTCGGACGAGAACCTGGTGCACTTCCTGCTGGACGAGATTGTGGGCAGCACCGCCCACCGGTGCCTCGACCCTGTGCCCATGGAGCAGAGCGTCATTGAAGTCATCTGCGAACGGGGATAAGAGGACGGGAAGAGGGTGGGTGACCCAGAAGGTCGCATGGAAGGGGGAGCCCCCCACGCATGCACTCTCGCCAGCTGTACGTCAATAGCACTGACCTCATTGGTGAAAAAAGGGGAGATTTCGGGATTGAGGGGGGAGCACTTGTCAAAGCCACGGCCAGAAACCGTGATGATTGGATTGTAATAAATGAAGATAAATTTGTAACGTCTTGATGATCTGTTCTTGCATATCACCTTGAAAGCAAGAAAGGACACTTCTGGGTGAAATAAAACTGTGTGTAATTTTGTGTGTAATTTTTTTTGTTCTGAACTTACTTCTCTTGCAGTCATTCAGCATTTCATAGAATCCTAGGATCAGGGAGTCGGAAGGGGCCTCTTAAGGCCATCAAGTCCAACCCCCCTGCTCAGTGCAGGGATCCAAAGTCTATCTGACAGATGATAGCCCAGTTTTCTCTTGCATGCCTCGAGCATTGGCGCACTCACCACCTCCTTGTCGAACAAGGGGCAAAATGATTAGAAATTTTTAAAAATCAAAGGTGCATAAAGGAAGAGCTGAAAGTTGGGAGTTTTTACATCCTTGTATGGTGACTGTGGAAGTGACGGGTGGGAGGGACCTTTGTGGGCTGGGGTGACTGTCAATCTATCCAGCACTAACCAATCGTTTGCTCCCTGCCTCTCAAAGGAGAGCCCCGCCTCTGCCGAGTGCTCTTTTCCTCTCTTTAGTCTGTTGGAAGCATCGGTGGTTTGCTGTTGATCTGTTCAGAGGGGGTTCCCGAGACCTTACGTGCCAGTAAATGAGAAAGGGGTTGACTCCCCAGGGAACTTGAAGCTATTCTCCTCTGTGAGTACTTCTATTGCGTCGTGAAGAGGAATTTAGCCAAGAAAGTTCTTATTCTTGCCACGTGAATGATCTCTGCCCGGCGTCTCCCACTCAAAAGGGCCACCGTTTGCCACGTGGGTCTTAAATCTGTGGCGGAGAAAAAGCGGCCGGAAATGATAAGACAGCCGTCCCAGAGGAAACGTCCTGCAGTGTTGTGGTTTTTTTAACAAGTTGCGTTGCTGAAATGACCTTTTTTTACACACACTTCTGCAAGGGCCCCGGACCCTGCCCTCCACAAGCCTCCCCTGGCACAATGCTTCGTTTTCTCTGTCCCTAAAGATCTGGGTTGATCCGGGGAAGGAAGTTCACGAACCAAAGGGAAAAAGGAACAAAGCAGGGGCCCCGGGTGTGTGTGTGGGGAATTTCCCCAGCCTTTCCCCCGTGATGCAACCGCTGTCGTTTGAGTCAACAACCGCTGTTTGACGTGGGGCTTAGGACGGGCTTGGCTGCCTCACTCGGCTGGCATTTATAGAGGAGGATGCCCGGGCGGAATCGCAAACAGGGGAGATGGCCAGCATGCCGAATTTTCACCCAAAGTGCCGCCTCGGCAGGTTTTGGAAAGGTGAGTCCTGGGGAGGGTGAGATGGGGCCGAAGTGGGGGGCAGGCTTTGCGTCATTATTTGCCTGCTTTTTTTCCGACGGGCCCCACAAAGCAGGTGGCACAGCCCTAGCCAGAGCCAGCAGGTGGTACAGTCCTAGCAGGAACAGGTGGGGACCTGGTGAAAGATTCATATCTAAGAATAACTAACAGATTGCTGCAAGAATTGATGGTCCGTGCAGGCTTTGCAAACGGACGCATCTTCGAGAGGAAAGGTGCTGTGTTTTATTCCTTTCCTTAATTTTTTTTTTGTAAGAATGGACCAGCGTCTGCTATTTTTTTCTTCCTACTCAAGACAGAAGGAATGTACAGTTTAAATGAAAACCAGATATGGCCTCACAGAAGCTGTCTTGAGATTACACACACACACACACACACACGCGTGCGCTTCTCTCACGATGACGTTTTTGAATTTTCCTATGGTTACGATACTGTGTTGACCTTTGCTGTTGGCCACACAGGAGTAGTGGGTCTGCGGGTCAAATTAAAATGCAAATAAATAAAGACATCAATATTTATTTGTTTATTTGGATTGGGATCGGCCTGTTTGACCTTTGCTGTTGGCCACACGGAGTAGTGGCTCTGCAGGTGAAATTAAAATGCAAATAAATACATCAATATTTGTTTATTTGGATTGGGATCAGCCTGCAGGGCCAGAAGGCATCTTTGGGATAATCCAGTCAAGGAGGCGGGGGGGATTTGAACTCCCAACCTCTAGCTCCACAATTTTAGCGGTCGCAACAAGGTAGCTTTAGGCATTTGGGCATTGTGATTCTAGGTCCTGTATTGCTAAACCAAGGGGAGAGAACTGTCACAGAGTTTTGAATTTCTGGTTAAATAAGCAAGAAGGTGGACTTGCCCCCTCTAGCTGGCCGACTATGGGCTTCTGGATATGTGATTCTAGGTCCTGTATTGCTAAACCGAGGGGATGGGGGAAAGAATTGTCACAGAGTTTTGAATTTCTGGTTAAATTCTTCTAGCTGTGCAGAAGAAGTCCAGGGATCCACAGAGCAGAATAGCTTCCAGTTCCTCATAGTAGTCCACCCCTTTTTCTCATGAACTGGGCCTTCCAGTCACAATAGCACTCTCTTGAGACATTATTAGGAGAAAAAAAAGAGGGGGGGAATGTCTTGTTTACTTACGGATCAACAGCAAACTGACAAACCTTACTGCTTTATTAAAAAAAGAGAGACCTCAATAGATTCTAGAAAGGGGGTGGGGGGGGAGAGACACAGAGCAAAGAAGCAGGGCTTCCTTTGAATCCGGGTTTCATTACTTACAATAACTGCAGGGATCCATAGAGCAGAATAGCTTCCAGTTCCCCAAATTAGTCCACCCCTTTTTCTCATGAACTGGCCCTTCCGGTCACAATAACTCTCCCTGAGACATTAGTAGGAGGGGAAAAAAAAGAGGAGGGGAGAAATGTTTTCTTTACTTACAAATCAACAGTAAACTGACAAACCTAACTCCTTTCTTTAAAAAAAAATCAACAGACTCTAGAGGGTGGGGGAAAGACACACAGCAAAGAAGCAAGGCTCCCTTTGAATCCGGGTTTCATTACTTACAATGAAAAAAAAGGGGAGAAATGTTTTCTTTACTTACAAATCAACAGTAAACTGACAAACCTAACTCCTTTCTTTAAAAAAAAATCAACAGACTCTAGAGGGTGGGGGAAAGACACACAGCAAAGCAAAGAAGCTCCCTTTGAATCCGGGTTTCATTACTTACAATTGAGCAGACCAGACAGCAAACTCACAAACGTGACTGCTTTGAACAACAGACCAAAAAAGAGAGGAGGAAAGACACCGAGCTGAGAGGCGGGACTCTGGTTGAATTCAGACGCAGGGGAAGGGACTATTGGTGAGTGCTGTCTGTGATTGACAGTCACCCCAGTCAAGGAAAGGCCCCCTCCCTGCCACACCCACGAAGGGCAGCATGCGAGATTGAACAAACTCCGAGCTGGCCAGGGGAACTAATATATCTCTTTCTCTCCGTTTCTCCCCAGTTACCTTTTACGTGGCTGTCGTTTCCATGCCGGCCCTGGGGGACCCTGTCGGGGACCCACCTCGCTGTTACCTGACCACGGTCAACGCCCTGAAGGTGGCCGACTGCCAAGGGCAAGGACACAGGGCCGTGCCTGAGACCGATCCCTCCGTTCAGGTCCTGCTCCTGAACTTCAACTCCTTCTCCGTCCTCTTGGGCTCCTCCTTCCCACGCCTGGAGTCCTTGGCCTTCCTGTCTCTCGGGAAGCAACGGACCGGGTCCCTTCTTCTCGGAGAGAGGGCCTTCCAAAACGTGCCTAACATCACCTTCCTGGACCTCGGGGGCAACGGGAACCTGACCCTCCATCCCGGCGCCTTCCGCGGCCTCTCCAAACTCGAGGTGCTTCTTCTGGACGTCAACGGGTTCGGGGACGAAGTGCTGGAAAACGGCTATTTCCGGGACCTGGTGTCTCTCAAGAGGCTCGATCTTTCTGGAAATCGGATCCGTAGGCTGAGGCCGGATCCGTCCTTCCGAGGGCTCGGGGCGCTCAGTATCCTCCAGCTGAGGCTCAACC